TCCCTGCTGTCTGTCATACACCCTTCTGTCAGCTCAGACCTCTGTGGGAAAGGGAGGCTTGAGGCAGCACCCGTGCTATCCCATGGGTAACTTCCCCTGACCCAGGTGGAGTAACAGAATGCGGACGGGAAAACAAAATTGACTTGGAGAGGAGCCTCAGAGGTAGACGTGCCGGCCAAAGGTGACAACTGAGACACAGACCTATAAGCTGTGTACCCGTGGAAATAGACATGAGCTTATAATGATAAACGTGTACGTTTGGAGAGGCGCAGATCCCCTGACACGGTCATGCATGCACACAGCTATGACATTTGCACTTAGACCCAGATGGACACCCAGGGAGGGACATTCCCTCAGAAATGATCATATATATCCAGAGAGAGCTGGGTACATGCAGGTGTAGATGCGTATCCATAGACATCGAGACACATGTCTACGCAGAGGCAGCAGTAGGTGTGATCCATGTGCATGCACAGAGATGGGCACGTGTGCAAAAGAATGGCTCTGAATGCACGGTGTTGGGTGCAGTTGCAAAGAGCATATGCACATGCAGAAACGGACAGTCACCCACAGAGAGATTAGTGTACTTGGTGCCTGATGCATAGACGCCAAGAAGGGCTCGTGTGCCCGAGGAAACAGCACGACCAGCTGATGGCACAAGTGCACCCCGAGACAGACAAATCTGCACAGTGACAGAGACAGGTACCCCCACCCCAGACATCCTCACAACACTCCTCAGGGGCCTCCCTTGTGTCTGCTAGGTGTCTGCGGCATGGCCGTGCCAGTCATGGGGAGGAGAGTCATCCCTATGCCAAGACACCCCCTGGAAGTTTGAGAGTGTGTCCCCAGGGCTTGGCTGTGGGAGTCTGCACAGCCTGGCACTGGAAGGCCGCCGGGCCACCGGGGTTTACTGTCCTGTGGGCAGCTGTTGGTAGGGAGCGGCAGCCCGGCAGGGGAGGCCCCACGCAGAGGAGACGTCCAGAAGAGATGAAAAGAACATGGAAGCTGACCTGAGGTCTGTGGAGCCTTGGGAGTCTGCACAAACGGAAGGCGGGAGGAGAGAGAGAGAGCACGTACTCGAGCTTAGTGCTGGCCCTCTCCGCACTCCATGTGCCTTCACCCGTCTGGTCCTCACAACGCCCGACAGGTGGCCACGGTTCTCCTCTCACAGCTCGGGAAACAAGGGCTGGGGAGGCAAAGTGACTTGTCCAAGGTCACACAGCTAGTAGCTGCCAGAGCTGCAGTCTGAACCCACATGGTCTTGGTTCTAGGAGCTCCAGGCAAAATCACAACACCAGACGCCCTGCCATCCCCCTGGGCGCGGGTAAAAGCACACGCTTTGGACACAGATGAGCATGGGCTCAAATTGACAGGGACACTTCCTAGTGTGTTCCCGAGCCGTTCAATCCACCAATGGCTACTGAGCACTAAGTATGTGCTAGGGGACGGTGTGCAGCGGGGACGGAGAGAATGAGATGGTGTGCTCTGGGCTAAGCCCCGTGTGGGGCACTGGAGCGAAAGCCCTAGAAGACAGGATGTTTGCAGAAAAGCCAGGTGGTCCTTTCTGTGCTACAGGTGCTCCCAGGGAGCGGGCACTTTCCCAGCTTGGGGTAGGGCCAGGACAACTCCCTGGAGGAGGTGGTAACCTTCTGAAGGATGAGTAGGAGTCTGTCAAGGGATGATGGGACAGAAAGAGGGGCAGTTGAGGCTCAGGGCGCAGCACATAAGGAGTGAGGGAGATGCCGGCAGCTGGGATGGGGGCAGGAAAGACAGGAAGGAAGTCTGGGGTGTCCTGAAGAAGCAGGAATGCCAAGCAGAGGACTTGGGGTTTTATCCTGAGCAGAGGGGTGATGCGGTCAGATCCGTGTTTTGGAGAGATGAGGGCAGAGAGCAGTTTGGGCGCTGGCCAGGGAGGTGGGCAGAGAGGAGCCAGGTGGTGAGTGTGGGGAGCGGTGGTTTCAGAAGTTGTTTCAGAGCCTAAAGTGCTCGCCAATCTCAAGTACAGAACTGAAGGGAAGGGAGACCAAGGCAGCTGCTACATTTCCGGCTCGGTGGGTTGGTCATGCCACCACCTAGAATTGGAAACCCCAAAGGAGAAGCAATTTTGGGGGTGGGGAGTGGCGATGAGTTCGCTGTGGGTTTTGAGGGGCCCGAGGGGCACTCTGGTGTTTACCGCCGGTCACCTGCCCAACAGCTATCCGTGCCTTGCACTTTGCTGACCAAATCCTCGTTTTTTTTGTGGCAGTAATATGCCCACAGCCCTGTAGACCCTAGAGGAGGGAGAGGAGGAGAGGAGGAGAGAAAGGGAAGACACAGCCTTCCAGAAGCCGGGCTCTGAGAGCCAGCAGATGGGTAGGGTGCGAGCTGGAGGGAAACACAGGCTCATGGAAAGTGTTTGTATCCCAGCCACCCCCATGACGCCTAAATGGGGATGGGAGAAGAGCAGCCAGGCAGGCGAGGCCAGGGCCCTGGAGAATGGGGAGCTAATGCAGGGTTAGGTCCCTACGGCAGTGAGAGGGGCAGGCTCCAGGCACAGGAGGGGAATTGGCCTCGGACAGGATGTGGAACCACCGTTCCCTGAGGTTGGAGGGAAGAGACGCGTGAGCACTGGGAGACAGGGTGAGGGCTGTGAGATGAAGGGGTTTCTGCTTTACGTCTTTTTCGCTCTGCAGGAGGGGCTGGGGTTATCTGTAGGGGGAGACTGGTGGCCATCTGGGATGATGTCCGTGGAGGGTCAGAGAGAGAGCCACCTAGGGAAACACAGAAAGGCTGGGGGGTGGAACTGAGACCCAGGAAGGGCTGGAGATGCTGAAACAGTGCTAGTGCCGCCGCGTGGTGACGGCATGCTGCCCAGCAGTGCTCAGAGGCCCAGACCCGCAAGGGAGGGGGCGGCCAGCTGGGCTGATCCAGCAGATGTCTTGAAAGAGCAGGATGGCCCTGACCTTGGAATCTAAGCCCAAGAGAGAAGATGGGGCAAAGGGTATGCCAGGTGTGGGGAGAAGGGCAGGGAACGAGACCAGAGGTTGCAGGGAGCACGGGAAGAGATGGCTGTTTCAGGGGTGGAATGAACATTTCAGAGGTGAGTGATTCCAGGGATAGCAGGTCAAGGGTGAAGCCGCACTAAGGGCGACAGTCTTCTGCAGAACTCCGCCGATGCCGCCATGGCCCCGCCCACACCCCTGGTTTTCACCATTCCTGGGCATGCAGACAGCTTCTGCCTGCAACCCCTGCACTTTTGGGCCATTTCTCACCCCTCACTGGAACAACGTGGGGCCGTAGTCTACACCGTCTCCCGGAGGCGCTCATGGGGATGGAGCCTCAGTTGTCCACAGTGGCAGTGGCTCATCACCATGCCCTCAACTGGCTTCTTCTCATCCCTGACTCACTTCCCCATGCCCCTCCCTGTGCTTCCTGGGATCATCTCCCAAATAAGCTACTGGCCCCTGAATCCTTGTCGCAGGGTCTTCCTGTGGAGCGACTCGACCCAGGACAGTGGGCTCAGACCCTTTAGGTGTTGGTTTCCTCCCCTGTGAGGCAGGCAGTCTACCGTGTGCCTGTGACATTGGAAGGGCACACGTGCATTGGCATGAGGCTCCTGGCACCAGGCCCCAGCACTCAGCAGGCACTAGGTCAGCGCCCTCTCTCATGCACACAATGGGGGCGATAAAATCTCCTGTCCCCTCAGATGGCCCAGGACAGCAGAACCTTTCTGTTGCTGCCAATCAAGCTCCAAAGGTAAGCCAATCCCTCAGGCCCGACCATCCCCGATGCTCTTTGCTGAACACCTTCCAGGTGGCCTCCCATGCTGGCAGCAAAGGGCTCCCTGGGGACCTCCTGATACAAGGATGGGCCAGAAGCAGCATGTGGTCTGGCAGATGGCCCTCTGAGTTCCTCTGAGGTAAATAAAAATCATGCTTGCTCCCAAGCACGGAGCGAGGCGCGGGCTCATCTAATCCCCGCAGCGGACAACAAGCTACTAGCTTTCTCCTCTTCGTGCTCAGGAGACCGGGCCTCAGAGAGGTTGGGCCACTTTCCCAGGCTGCCCCAGCCCGGCAGGAGTGGCAGAGCTGGGAATCAGACCTTGTGGGCCCAACCAGGGCCCAGGCTCCTCACTGGGAGGCAGGAGGGTGCCATGTTTCCCTCGGATGCCCTGTGCAGGCTCTGCGCAGAGAAGTTGCTGGGGAACGAGCGCTGGGCTGAACAGAACCAAGTACGGCTCCCAGAGGAAATAGAGCCTGTTTCCTGTTGGACACAGAGCCCTTGAGGGCGTTCCTGCAGCCTCGCTCCTAGCACCCAGCCTGGCACAGAGTAATGCTCAGGCAGGGTTTGTGGATCAGTTGAGGAAGGAATATCTAATATTCCTGGCCAGAATTTACACTGTGGCCCGGATCCATGGTCGCTTTAGGAGATGCACAATACAATTTTCCCATTCTGTTATTCCGGCTGCTTTCTTCCATGAAAGTAGAATTTTCCCTCCTCAGCTGCCCACTCCAGCCTCCTTTGCCCTCCCTCTGAGCTAATCTAAGCATGTCTGAAGGATGCCTTTCCCACTTGTCCCACTAATTAGAAGGTCCCTTCAGGTCCTCCGTGGGTGGGCATGGGACCGCCATTGGGCTGCAGCATAGGTCACAGCCTGCCATTTCCTACAGGCAGGGCTGAATGGCCCCACTGGACAGATGAGTAAGACTGAGACCCAGAGGAGCTAGATGACTTGTTCAAGGCCACCTGGCGGGCTAGAGGCTGACTTAGGGTGGTTGCCAGATCTGCCTAGCCCCAAAACTCATGGTCTTTCTCCATCACCAAATTCCCTTCCCGCCCTGAGGTGCTTCCCTTCCCCATCCAGGGCAGCCAGTGCAGATCTCAGAATGTGTCAAGCCGGTGACACTAGATCCGTCACCTCAGGGTGGAATGAAGGAAGCACCTGGGGATCAGCTTACTAATTCGAGGGGCCGATGAATTATTCAGGCCACCATTAACTTGGAGGCCCTCTCAGACTCATCTCCTTTCCCCCTGCCCCAGACCCTCAGATCCTGGCCTGCCCCGAGCTCTGCAGACCCATGGGGGCCCCCAGTGAGGGGATGCTGGCAGAGCTGGGGTCCTGTCTGCTGCTGGTGGTGGTGCTGCTGGGCCCAGGCCCCAGGGCCCATGCTATGAAAGGTAGGAGCTCTGGAGGACACAGGCAGGCTCTGCGACGGGGGGTGGGGGGGTTGGGGGGTGGCCAGGTGGCTGCCAGGGTCTCAGGAGGTTTCCATGTGGGAGGCCAGAAAGGAGGAGGCCTTTTTGCGGGGAGTTGGCTGAGTTGAGGATGTATTTGCCTCTGAGATGGTGAAAGGCAGTATTTGCGGAGTACCTGCTATGTGCCGGATGCTTTACAAATACAATTGCATTTAATCTTCAGGACAAACCTCAAGGTGGGTATAAGTCCTCCATTTTACAAATGAAGGAACTGAGGCAGAGAGAGGTTCAGTAACCCGTCCAAGGAGACATAGTTACCAAGGGTTGAGGGAATGGCTCAGAGGCAATGGAAGGTTTATTGCTGGAGAAAGACTTTACCCTCCTCCTGAGAGCCTGCTGCACTTCCCCACCACCAGCCAGGTGAAATCAAAGTTCTTCCTGATGGCATTCGGCGTCCCCCAGGTTTGGCCCCAATTCTCTATATAATATCCAGCCTCGGTCCCCTGTGTCTCTTGGGCACCCTGAGCTCTGGCAGAGGATCGTACCCCCTTCTGGAAATGCTTCACCCTCTGTCTGGAAGGTCCCTGTTCTCTTTTGCCTTCTGAGAACATGTGGCTCATCTATCAAACTTGGGTCAAACACCACCTCCTCCAGGAAGCCTTCCACATCCTTCCATCAGCCTCAGAGGCTCCCTTCTGGGAGCTCCCAGAACCCTGTGCTAGCACCCTGGCCCCAGGTCGCCTCGTGCTGCTCCGGCCCCATTGCGTTGTGTGCCTGTCTGTGAAGCAGCATCAGTTCACTGGACTTCAAGGGGCGTGCATGTTGGGGGCGCTCAGCAAGCAGCCCTCAGTGCCTCGTTTTCCTGCAGGCTCAAGTGGGGCTCAAAGAAGGAAAGGGAATGTGCCAGTCACCTCTTCGGTGGCAGAGGTGGGCCGGGTCCCCAGGCGTCTCACTCCTTCCTGTAGGGGAGAAGCTAACTGTTCCCATTTTCTAGCCTCTGGAGTTATAGTGGCCCAAGGGTGATCCTGGGGTTCAGGGCGTCTGGCTGAGTCCCGGAGGGCAAGGCCTACACTTGTGCTGGCACCTGGGACCTCCTTGGCCACAAGAATTCTGCTCCAACACTCCCAGGGCTTTTCCTGTCCCATGGGCAGGGCTGGGGGAAGGACAAGGACAGGCACCGGACAGAATATCCCTCTGTCCTCTTGCCATAAAGGCATGAATCAGACAGGGTTCGTGCCGGGCCTGCCGCAGGGGCCGACAGGGAGCCGACAACCCGAGCTGGATGTGCGTCTGAGGCCCTTGAAGGAGAAGCTTTGTCTCATCAGTGCTCACAGCCACCCCATTTCACAGATGCGTGACTGAGGCCCGGGGAGGCTAGGTGACTGTGAGTACGTGCCATCTCCTCCCCCCAAATTGTCCCCAACTAACGACCTTCTTGTCCCTCTTGGTCAGACTCAAACACCACCTTCCCTGTGAATCTTGTCCCCCCATCCCCCCAACAGTGCTGGCCCAGCAAGATTAGCCCCTGTCCCTCGGGTCCCTGTGGCATTGCTGACCGCCCTCCCGTTCCACAGTGCGCTCCCCGGGAGAGCCCCGTGCTGAGTCAGCCCAGGCCCGGTACAGGCTTTTTGGCCTTTTCAGTAAACAGAGCTAGGAAATTAAATTTTTTTTTTTAGAAACAAAAATAAATCTTAAATTCATACTGTCTTTAGTTCAAATTGAGGATCACAAGCGTTCTATTTAATTTTTTAATTTTATGGTTGTATCACTCTCTTCTTACACGGAACATCTTAGCTCCTATTGACATTAGCAGACGTGCTTTATTCCAATTTATAAAATACTGTAAAATAGCAGTACTGACTGTTATTACAAATAGTAAGTCTCCTGAGTCAAGTTTCAGACTTCTCTGTGCTTCGTTTTGTCCCGGGGATATATCCCACTAGGAATGTACAGTCAAAAAAGTATATTTCCAAGTCATTTGAAATCATTTCCCCCCAAGATGAATGTGCCTCCAACTTGATATATGTGTGTATGATATTTGTTTCAGTTTGGGACTTTTAAAAAATATTTGTGTTTTCTTTTTAAAGATTTTATTTATTTAATTGAGAGAGAGAGCGCATGCGCGTGTGCGCACAAGCGGGGTGTGGGGGGGGTGGGGGAGGAGGGGCAGGCTCCCCACTGAGCAGGAAGCCCAACATGGGGCTCGATCCCAGGACCCTGCGAGGATCATGACCTGAGCCAAAGGCAGACGCTTAACAGACCGAGCCACCCAGGCACCCCCAGTTTTGGATTTTTAGGGGTTACTTAAAATCGTTTTTTGCTAATTTAAAAATTATATTAAAGGTCATTCATGAGGGGCGCCTGGGTGGCTCAGTCATTAAGGTCTGCCTTCGGCTCAGGTCATGGTCCCAGGGTCCTGGGATCGAGCCCCGCATTGGGCTCCCTGCTCAGCGGGAAGCCTGCTTTTCCCTCTCCCACTCCCCCTGCTTGTGTTCCCGCTCTCCCTGTCTCTCTCTCTGTCGAATAAATAAATAAAATCTTAAAAAAAAAAGTCATTCATGACTATAAAGTCAAAATTATAAAACAGGTCTCATTGAAAAAGGTCTAGCTTCATGCCTGTTTTCCTCCCCTCTGTTTACTCCTTCCCCTGACAGAGAATCATTTTTATCAGTTTCCTTCCATTGTTTTCTTTTTTTAAATATAAGCAAATATGCGCATATAAGAATGTACTTGTGACAGTACAGTAGGGCTGTGCGCATCCTCACTGAGGGTGGGGTATTATCATTTATAATTTTTAAATTCCCTACGGTATACGCCTAGGATCTGGCATATAGTACTGTTTTATCTAAAATTATAGATCTGCCCCAACATTTCTGTCTCCTCTCCCTGCTTTATTTTTCTCCATAACACTAATCACTCTTCAATATGCTCTATATTTTACTCAACGTGTTTATCATCTGTGTTCCCCATCAGAACCACCCAGGAGATTCCACGAAGGCAAGAATTTTTGTCTGTTCTGTTCCTGCTGAAACCCCAGCACCTAGAACATTGCCTAGCACTCAGACGGTATTTGTTGAATGAATAAAAGAGTGCTTGATAAGTATTTGAGGATTAAGCAGATGAATGAGCAAACACGTGCATCAGTGAATTGATTTAGGGTCATGGCCTCATGCTCCCTCACCCCATCCCGAAGACCCAGGTCTGTGGCCGGGTCTACCATCCAGGACCCCAGCACTGACCGAGCCATTCTTCCCTCCTGCCCCAGGTATCAAATGTGGGGGTGTGCTCTCAGCACCTTCCGGAAACTTCTCCAGCCCCAACTTCCCCAGGCTCTACCCCTACAACACAGAGTGCAGCTGGCTGATTGTGGTGGCCGAGGGCTCCTCGGTGCTGCTCACTTTCCACGCCTTTGACCTGGAGTACCACGACTCCTGCGGCTTCGACTACCTGGAAGTGTACAACGGGGCCTCGGGGGACAAGGGCAGCCTGCTGGGGAGGTTCTGCGGCCGGGTGCCCCCGCCACCCTTCACCTCCTCCTGGCACGTCATGTCTGTCATCTTCCATTCAGACAAGCACGTGGCCAGCCGAGGCTTTTCTGCCGGCTACCAGAAAGGCAAGGGGGACCTGGCAGGGAGAGGGGGGCCCTGTGGGGGCCGGGGGGAGGAGAGCCGTGGGCTGAGGCGAGGCTTGCCGGCAGCTCTGGAGCCTGGGTGGCCCTGCTGCCACAGCTCAGGGACAAGAACAGCTTCCAGCGGTGGTCATGGTGGTGGTGGGTTCCCACCTTCAGGGCAGCAGTCCTGGGAGACCTGGGAGGGTCTCACTGTATCCAGGAGCAAGGCCTTTTGGGCTCGCTAGGTCCTTCTTATCCCATGCCATGGCATCAGGACGAAGGAGAGGACACCAGGCTGCCCCTGCTGCCCGTCCCTCTGCAGCACCCCATCACTTACGAGCGCAGGGACCCCTGGCACCCCACCCCAAGTCCTCTGGAGTAAAAGATGCACGAGGGCCATCTGTGTGGAGCCGGTGACATGCTCCCTCCCCAGGCTTTACCTAATGCCTCTTACGTTGTGGATCCCTAACCCTCCCTCCCTCCGCCTGGAAACCTGCCCCTTAGTCTAGTGAGGGGAGCGGAGGCTTTGCTCTTCTCAGCTTTCTTCTTGTCTCCAGGCCTCTCTGCAGACACTCAAACCTCCTCCCTTCTCCCAAGGCCCAAACCCAACACCTTACTTGTGTCTGCTTAAGCCACAGACAACCACAGAGGCTCTTGGGGCGCAGGGTTCCCCATACAACAGTTGGAGGACTCGGGTGGGATGCCCCTCCCTGAGCTGGCTTTCGAGGCACAGAACTGCGGAATGCCAAAACACAAGAATCACAGACTGATCTCGTCACAGTTTTGGAATTTTAGACTCTTAGGTTTTTAAAATGTTAGGATATCAAAGTCAGAATACCATAAACAATGTTTTCCAACATTTTATTTTATTTTAAGATTTTATTTATTTATTTGACAGAGAGAGACACAGTGAGAGAGGGAACACAAGCAGGGGGAGTGGGAGAGGGAGAAGCAGGCTTCCCGCCGAGCAGGGAGCCCGATGCGGGGCTCGATCCCGGGACCCTGGAATCATGACCTGAGCCCAAGGCAGACGCTTAATGACTGAGCCACCCAGGTGCCCCTTTTCCAGCATTTTTTAAAAACAGGAGTACCATTATAGCAAATGGAAACTTAGGTTAATCCCTTATATGTAAAAAAGATAAAGGCAGTATTTTCTTGGTACGCATTTACTGTATTTTTTAAGTTCATATTTTTAACACTTACTTATTATAAGCCAATCACTGAAAACATAAGTCAATATGGATGGCCTCCAGTGAGTGAAATTTTTATATATGACCTGTGACTGTGGATGCTGTTGTTCAGCGCATTAAAGAGCTTGAATACAGCATAGGAGTGAAATTTGCCCCACATGCAGGCCTATGGATGCCCCCAGGGGGCTGCTGCAAAGCTCCGGAGCACAATTCAAAAGCTTCTGCTAAGTGTGTTCACATGGAAAAGGATCTCACAGACTGTCAAAACCTGCCCTCTCATTTCACAAACAATAAAGTTAAGAGTAGAGAGGGAGTATGCCTTCCCAAGGTTATAAGGCTGAAAGCACGAACACTGGGACAAGAAGTCTTAGCGCCCAGCCCAGAGCAGAGCTAGGTTCACAAAGCCACGCCCTGGGGCGAGGTTCTTGGCGTCTTGGGAAATAGCAGTGTGCCCCACCCTGCTGGTGCCTCCAGCTGGTCAGGGCATTCATCATCAGCCACCTCCTGGCTGGATTGGCAGGGCTGGGTTCCAAAAGGGTTTCATCAGCACTGGAGATTCTGCATGAGCCTGCACCTGGTGGATCAGGCTGGGCAGGTCTTCCGACCTCTCATATTCCCATGAGGCTCATGGAGGCTGGGTCACACCCCTCAGAGAAGACAGAGCTGAGGACCAACACCCATCTTCAGACTTCAAGCCCATCTCCACTTCACCAGACCCTCTCTCCAAGCCTCAGTTTTCTCTGTCAGGGAGCTTTGAGAATATTGCTGAACTCGGGCACCTCAGCCTCTGTGCCCCACAGGCCTGGTAGGAAAATCACAAGGTCAAGTGCCCAGGCTCTGCAACCAGGCAGTTCCTCCTCTCCCCATTACCAGCTGGGTGGCCTGCCGTCAGGGCCCCACCCAGGTTCCCGGGGACTCATCACTTCAGTGGCTCCTGCCAACCTCCATATCTCTACGTGAAGCTTTCTTCTGAAGTCTCGGCAGGTCACCTCTATCCCCAGAGCCCTCGGCCTGGACTCTTGGGAGCTGGTGTACAAATGCCCCAGCTCCCTTTCTCTCAGGTGACATAACCCTGAAGTGTGTGCCTGACGCCATTCCCCAGGATTCCCCAACAGGGCTCGGCAGCTGGCTTGACATGACTTTTATTGGCCCTTATAGCTCCCAAATAAACTCCTTGGGCGCCTGGGTGGCTCAGTTGGTTGGGCGACTGCCTTCGGCTCAGGTCATGATCCTGGAGTCCTGGGATCGAGTCCCGCATCGGGCTCCCTGCTCAGCGGGGAGTCTGCTTCTCCCTCTGACCCTCTTCCCTCTCGTGCTCTCTATCTCTCATTCTCTCTCTCTCAAATAAATAAATAAATAAATAAAAAATAAACTCCTTGTGCTCATACCCTTGTCTCAGGGTCTATCTGGGTGAACCTAGACTCCCCCAGGTAAGTTACTTACCTTCTCCGTGCCTCCATTTTTGCGACCATAGAATGGGGAGAACCACTGTGCATTCCCCTAGGGTGATGGTAATGGTGTCAAAAGACAGCGTCGGTGCCAAGTGCCACGTCTGTGCCTGCCACACAGCAAGCGCTCAGTGGATGGTGACGAGGTTTCCGTGAGATAGATACCCATGGGGGGTGGCACGTTGAGGGGTGTGCTGTTCCCAAGGGAGGGGGTTGGGGGGCCACAGGGAGGAAGAAAGGTCAGCTCAGGAGGGCTTCTTTGCAGATGTGTGTGGTGGTGTCCTAACGGGCCTTTCAGGGGTCCTTACCAGCCCTGAGTACCCGGACAACTACCCCAACAACGTGGAGTGCCACTGGGTGATCCATGCCTCCGGCCCTGCCACTGTCAAGCTGGTGTTCGTGGACTTCCAGGTGGAGGGTAGTGAGGAGTGTACCTATGACTACGTGGCTGTGCTTGGGGGGCCTGGCCCCGCCCACGGGCATCACTACTGTGGCAGCACCCGGCCCCCAACTCTTGTGTCCCTGGGCCACGAGCTGCAGGTGGTCTTCAAGTCTGACTTTAACATTGGAGGCCGGGGCTTCAAGGCCTACTACTTCTCAGGTAGAAGGGGCTGGGGCTATACCTCGAGGCCCCTGTGCATGCTGTGCATGACCCTGCCTGGCCAGTGCCAAGGCGTAAGCATGTCACCTCCTCTGTGAAGTCTTCCTGATTGACTCAAAATTAGTCCGTCCTTTCAACTCCTTCTGGAGTTTTTTTTTGCAGCAATGATCTAACACTTATCATTTATGTATGTGGTCGGCACGTTGATTTCCCCTGACTGTGAGTTCCTGTGGGTTTGTCTCTGTACCTGCCACATAGAACGGATTCAGTCAATGTGTGTACGAATGAATGAATGAACCCTTGATAGTAAAATGAACTAGAGAGTGGAGGAGATGGAGAAAGAAATAGACAATGACAACCCACTGTGATCTTTGTTAACAATAAGAATCATGGATGACTTCCTGGAGGAGGAGAGAATTGAGTAGTGCTTTGAAGGAGTTAACCAGAGGCAGAAGGAAGGGAAGGGTATTCCAGGCAGAAAGATCAGCATGTGCGAAGGCAGGGAGGACAGAGAGGGTTTGGTGTGCTCATATGCTACGAGGTGTTTGGGGAGGGTGGAAGTTAGGGCTGGATGAGGGGCAGTGAGGAAATGAGCAAGGTCATGTCATGAGCCATCTTGTCTGTCAAGTCCAAGTTTGGACTCAACTCTGAGGACAAGTATTAGGTCTGGTTATTGAATTCCTAACCGGACCAGCACTCGTGAAGTGGACTGCCAATTGGAATGAGAGTCTTAGTCTTCGGCTAGTTTCCGTTTAAAGCAGGCTTTGGGATCCATTGTCTGGTTTGCCCACCACGGTGCCCACCACCTGCCAGGGTGGTTTTAGGACCTTTATGGGGCCCACTGCCCAAGCTGTACTGCAGAGGGTGACAGTCTCCACCCTTCTCATTGTTGTCCCTTCTGTCCTACTCTCTCCACCGCAGGAGAATGCCAGGAGGTATACACGGCCGTGCGGGGCAACTTCTCCAGTCCCCAGTACCCCAGCGCCTACCCTAACAACATTCACTGCCACTGGACCATCCGCCTGCCTCCAGGCTACCGGGTCAAGGTGTTCTTCCTGGACCTGGACCTGGAGGGTCCCAACAGCCTGACCAGGACCTGTGACTTCGACCATCTGGCAGCCTTCGATGGGGCCAGCGAGGAGGCCTCCCTGCTGGGGAGTTGGTGCGGCCACCACCTGCCAGCACCGGTCACCTCGAGCCGCAACCAGCTTCTGCTTCTACTGCACACGGACCGCAGCACCACCCGAAGGGGCTTCTCCGTGGCCTACATTGGAGGTCGGCTGGGGTTGAGGGTGTGGGCGTGCTGATGGCGGGGCGGGGAGTGGCAAGGCTGGGGTCCTTTGCAGCTTCCTCCCTCCATCCCACTGCTGGTCTTCTCCAACCTTTTCTCGGGTGGCTACAGCACTGCGGACTGCTGCCCTGGGACCCCTGGGACCGCACCAGTGTGGCCCTTTCTTATTTCCACCCCGCAGAGCCCTGCCTTTCCAGCTTCCAACTCCACGTGCCCTAATTCCCCCATCTCTCTCCTTCCCCCTTGGTCCCCTGGCCTCTCTCCTGCTGTGGTTTATCCTGCGTATCCAGGGGTAGTACGCAAAATATGGCCATGTTACTTGTGATAAACAACTGGCATAACCATGGAGATGTCAACAAGCTTTGCTTATATAGGTCATAAATCCTGACTGACAGTAGCTTCAACAAGTGGCTTTTGTTTTCCTCACATAACAAGAAGTCTGGAGCTAGGGAGCTGCTTTGTTAGTTCGGGGACTTAACACTGTCTCAGCTGGTATCTCTGGGATTCTCTTGGCCGCATGACTGCAAGATGGCTGCTACAACTCCGACATCATCCACGTTTGAGGCTGGAAGAGTGTAGGGGAGATGCCAGCTACAAATGTCCTGTTACCAGGAAAACAAAAGCATTTTCAGAAGCTCTTGAAAGACTTCTTGGTCTCAAGAGTTTGAACTTGGTCAGGTGGCCATGCCCAGTGGCAGAGGTGGCTGAGAACATTGGCATGGGGCTTTTCCAGCTTCCCTAGTGCCCGTTAGATTTGCCAACCAGCAGCCTCCACTGTCTCTCCCCTCTTCCCGTCACCCTTCCCTGGCCCATGGGCCCAGAAAAGCCTGTGCTCTGGACCCATTTTGCCCTCTACCTGAGCAGGCGAAAGCTTCTTGTTGTGCAGGTGTGGAAAGGGAGGTGCAGAGAGGAAACGCTTCACCGCGGTCACGTGGGCAACGGGGGCACGGCCAAGACAAGAACCCCTGCCTGCCTTCTTTGTGGCCCAGTAGGGTCCCGGGTGAGGGAGCCAGGGCTGAGTTCAGACAGAACAGGGCCACATCCAAATGCTGCCATTTACCAACCATCCAGTGGCCTCATCCATGCAAGGGGTTGATGAATGCCCTCTGCAGGGGGTCATTCAGATGAAAAGAGAGAACAGGGGACATCCTTGCTGAGGGTAGATGTCTCTCCCTCACATGTCCCGGGCCTGGTCTGCAATCACGCATCTTCCCTCCGTCCTTACCCCTTACGAAAGTGGTGATGGGGAAGGACACGGCTGCGCCGCAGCGAGCTAGTGGCAGTGAAGTGGCCTGGGCAGACCCGCCTTCCAGGGCCTCAGCTGGCTTCCTCCATAACCTGGGGGAGGAGAGCTGTCCCTTGTGAGAGCGACCCCTCCTAGGGTTTCACTCTGGAGAGCCAGGGGCCACAGGCTCTGCCATAGCTAGCTGCACGTGTTTTTTTCTCTGCGGGTCTGTTATTCCACCTGTAAAATGAGGACACTGGCTGAAGGATCTTTAAGGTCCCCTTTGGTTTGATTGTCTTATTTCCAGGCATGGGTCCTCGCCCAGCAATGTGGGATCTTGGACAAGCCCCTTCTCCTTTTGGTGCCTGCAGAGCCTGAGGGTGGGGCAGCTCTAAACCTGGTTCTGTTCCAGGGGCAGGAGCCCCGGCTCCCACCTGCTCTGCCCCCCTCCCCAGATCCCTGTGGGAGCCCAGGGCCAGACAGGGGCACTCGTGCTAGACGAGGCTCCAGATGTGGTCCAGGCTGCAGGCGGCCTCCTGGCTAGAGGACAACCTCACATCAATCAGGGGTGACACACAGTTCAGCGCCACCGAGATCATCGTGGGAGACGGCGGGCCCATAAATCCCCGACTGCCCAGACACCAGAGGCTGAAATATGTCTGAGGCATTTCCCGGAGAGGGGCTGAGAGTTCCAGGCCTCTGCCTGCCATCTCTTCTCTTTCCCACCCACCGGCTGCCCTTTCCTCCCCCTCCATTGCCCCCACCCCAGCCAGCACTGCGCCCCCCCCACACACACACGCAGGCTCCGATACACCCACACACAGAAAGTCACACCATCTTGGCCTGGAGGGCTGCAGGGGCCCACCAAATGGGGGGGGGTCACCTCCAGACTCAGTAAAGGCTAAAATCCCAACTCAACCACTGCAAACAACTTTACCTCTCAGAGCTTCAATTTCCAAAACCGTAAAATGGGTTTAGTTGTGTCCACCTCATGGGATCACCGTGGGGAGCGAGTGAGGCTTTCTTCTCCGCAGTTCTGCCCCCACCCCCACACACATACTGTCTTTCCCTGTCTTGCTTCTCTGCTTGATTTTCCTTCAGCCCACTCCAACACATCTTTCATTTTACCTCTCTATTGCCCCCTTGCCCAACTAGAATGTAAGGTCCAAGAAGGCAGGAAGTTTGGGCTGGTGGGTTGGTTTTTTTCCATTTCTTTTTCTGTGGTGCCAGAACATAGTAGTCCTGAACATAGTAGGCCATCAAGAAATATTTGTGAAATGGTTGAATGAGTTACCTGGCACATGGTAAAGAGATCAGCAGATAGTACCTCTTCTTATGATTAAGAATATCCATTCATTCATTCATACATTCACTGACCCATTCATTCATTCATTCATTCACTGACTCACTCACTCATTCATTCATTCATTCATTCAGAATTCAGAATTCACAGCACCTGCCAAGCTCTGAGCCAGGCTGCAACGACAGGAGAAGGCCGGGTACCTGCCCTTGGGAACTCATAGTCTGATGGAGTTAAACGGAGAAACACACGTGAAACATCCCCATTAGGCTGCATAGGCATCTCCTGACTCTGGGCCTCAGTTTTCCCACACATCATTCTTTGCGTGGGGTCTCGGGGTGGTGGGGGCAGACTTCCTGCCGCTAAGGCCTCCAGCCGCTCCCTCCCTCCGTCCCCAGTCGTGCCCATGAACGTGAGCTGCTCCCGCACGGACTTCCAGATCCTGATCGCCGCACAGGCTCTGGCGCCGCTGGAGCGGACCAAGGTCTACCTGGGCAGCCGCAGCTGTGCCGCCCAGGAAGCCGGGGGCACCTTCCGGATCCAGGCCCGCTTTGACACCTGCGGCACCGAGTCTCAGGTAGGGGCTGCGCAGGGGGGGAGGGCAGGCGTGAGGGGGCGGGGTCTGACCCCTGCTAAGAGGCACCTGCCATTCCTGAGAATTCAGCTTCTCTTCCTGGCTCAGTGACCCCACAAGCCTGGATGCAGAACTCAACAAACTTGCTCAGTGTAGACATGACAAAGAACTCAAATGGGAGACAGAGAAGGGGGCCCCACTGAATAACCCAGCGACAACCCTATGGAAGGCTCCTCCTGCAAGGCCCTGACCCTGACCATCCTTGGAGGCCTTCCTGCCCTTCCTTCCCTTCTCCCAGGAGCTCCCCACCCCCCCAGGCCTCACCCCTTTCACACGCAGAGCTGTTGGAGCCTGGCTGCCTCCAGCGGCCCCTTCCCCAACCTGTGATCCAAATGGTCCCTGTGCTCCACAGAACAAAAGGGCCTTTCAAGTAACAGGATCCACTTCCCCCCAAAGGCAGTGAGGCTTACAAATGAATTCAGGTTTGGGGCCCTTGGAGTCGCTGGGCAGTGGCCCAAGCACCTCAGATGTCTGCATTCTTAGGGGCAGGTTAAAGGGGAAAGGAGAGATGCCCCCCCTTCCAGGGAGAGCTCACCCCCACCCCCAAGCCTTGGTATCCAGGGATGTGCCAGACTGGCTTGGTAGAAATCATGCACTTTCCAGCAAGCCGTACCACCCTGCCCCCCACATTAGCCAAACATCCACCTGGGGCCCCTCCAGTCCACCCTTCTGCTTCCCCAGCCTCCGGCAACCTCTGTCCTTTTGACTTGAGGAGAGAAGTGGGGGCAGTCCTGGCTGCCAGGTTGATCTGCCCTCACCCTGACTCCATGCCCTAAGTCCCCCAGGGATTTTCTGCGGACACTCCACAGAGTCATGAAATGACGAGGACAGAGAATCCCAGAGGCAGGGAACCAGGAAACGGAGAGCGATGTATTACGGACACTCAGAGGCTCAGAGGCATGCAACCACCACCGTAACTTGGAGCCACAGAATCATAGACTCTTGGGGCTAATACCGCAGAAACATAAGAGCTGAGAAACTTAGACTCCTGGACTCCTAGTGTCACCGTTATGCGTCCTAGACGCTCGAGGACCGTCTTTGAGAGCACTGAGCTGCTCTCAAAGATGCACAGCTCGAACAGCCCAAGGCAATGACCACCTTTCTGTGCATCTCTTTAAAAACACTGGAGACTTGATTTCATAACCATAACAGCACATCTCGTGTGGCTGGCTTTTCCCCTTCAAGTCTCTCACTCATCAAAAACCCCTAAAACTTCCACTTTCTGTGATTTTCTTCCTCCCTTCTTTATCATGTGGACTGACTTTACTGGGTCCCCTTCTACTCAACTCACAGGCCCCGTCTTTCTTTGTCCAGGGTCTCAATTCTGTATCACAAAAATCCAGGACACCGGTCCTCCTCAGAGGGTTTGGGGGCAGACAGGTTGAGGGCACAAATGCAGAAGCCTCCTTTGGGGGCATGGAATCAGAGCCTTTCGGAAGCCCATCTGAAACTCCCTTTCACAGCCTTCCCCAGAGGGGTGGTCCAGTGTCCAGGGACAGCAGCTTCCTACCGTTCCTGCCTGCCCGCTCTGTCACCTGTGTGTCGTGTGACCTCAGACAAGGGATTTAACTTTTGGGCCTCAGTTTCCTCATCTGTGAAATGGGGATATTAATGGTACCAATAAGAGAGGATCATAGTGAGAATGAAATGAGACAACCCACTTAAAACAGAGCCTGGAACATGGCAGATGGGCCTGCTCTTGCTGTTATTGTCTTTCATAGACCCCGCCACCTTGAAGCCAGAGCAAACACGGACCCATCAGACATCCCCATAGTGTCCCTTTTACAGGTGGGGACACTGAGTTTCCAAGCGGGAAGGGAGTCGGTGGTCAAGCTGGCACTAGAACCCCAGGCTCCTGGGGTTCTGCCCCCTTGGCACAGAGTCCCTACATATCTAGGGGCAAAGGGTCAGCCCCGGCCCCTTCAGGTGTGAGTGAGTGCCCCGTGACCCCCACAGCGGAGGAACAACACCTCAGTGATTGTCAGCATGCTGTACATCGACTTCTCGGCTGGCGGGCAGGAGGACATCCATGAGTATGAGGTCCGTTGTGAGCCACGGCGCAAGGAGGCTTCTGTCCACCTGCTGTCTGGCTCCGACCGGCTTGGGCCCTATGCCGCCACAGCTGAGCATCTTCAGGAAGCGCCACCCAGGGATGAGGTGGAGGCCCTGGAGGGCCCTGTGGCCATGGTGTCTCAGGACACCAGTGACATTGTCTTCCTGGGCCTTTGCATCCTGGCCGGAGTCCTCATGGTCGTTGCCATCGTGGTCCTGATGCTGCTGTGAGGGGGGCAGGGACCTGGGTGTGGGCTTCCCTGGGAGGCAGCTTGGGGTCCCCACAACAGGGGCAGGGCCGGGTATTGTCGACTCGTTGGTGGCCATGGGCAAGTCATTGTCCCTCTCTGAGTCTCACTTTCCTAGGGAGGATCCGTGTGCCCTCCTTACCTCACAGGGTTGGCTTGAGGCTCAGGGAAGAGCCTGAATGCATAAGAACTTTGTCAACTCTGGCATGTCCTATGTGTGTACAATTGTTACTAATTTCAAAGTCTGCTATCGAAAAGAAGTCTCCCGTGTGTGTTACTTGTCAGCGTGGATAGCTGTGGTCCCTGGTGACAGAGGGTAAAACTGAAGTTCCCTAAACGCACAAGGGCTTCACCGACTTGGGATAAAAACAAGGGCATCTCTTATTTTTCCAACTAATCGCTTATCACAAGCCTTCATCGGCTGGGAGCTCAGTAACCATCCAGGGGCCTCCACTCTCCAGAACCGACTCAGGAACCCTGAGGACTTTGTCCACAGCGGGCCCGTCCTGCCTTCAAACTCCAGGAACAGAAAGGGTGCTGACACCCTACCTGGTGCCGTCATCCCAGCCTCCGCCAGGTGGTGTCGCTGTTGGCGGCTGGTTGTACGCATCCAGGCGGCTCGGGTCTGAGGAGGGGGCCGCGCTGTGCAGGCCCACACTGTGCTGGGCAGGGAGACTGCAAGCTGAGGACTGGTGCCTCTTTCACGGTGGTGTTTTTCCTTACCTAGGTGGGGATCCTTGACTGAAAAGCTGATCGAAGTCCCGTGTGTCTTTGTCCGCACCCGTGATGTCTCCCTTCAAATGAGTTCTCTTTGGAGACTGGGGGCCTTCTCCTGCCATTGGACCTCACTCAGAGCTACTCCAGCACCCCCGTGTTTCTCTAAGTTTACACCATGGGGAGCGGGGGTTGGGTTTCCAGTGCTTTCTTGTGAGAAGTGCTCTGGCATCCTCCTAAAGATTGGTCCAGCCCTCCCCAGAGCTCTATGGATCAGGAAGTGGAGCAAACTTGTTAATGAAAAATAAACAACAACAAAAAAATGCAGTTACAATAACACCACTTTCCCCTGGGCCTTTGCATCCTGGCCGGAGTCCTCATGGTCGTTGCCATCGTGGTCCTGATGCTGCTGTGAGGGGGGGCCGGGACCTGGGTGCAGGCTTCCCTGGGAGGCAGCTTGGGGTCCCCACAACAGGGGACCCCAATATTTGCTAATGAATCCCTCACAATCAATAGAAATCTCCACATGGACCATGCTGACCACTGGTATCACTTAAACAAATTGTAGCCCAATTACAGTTCCTTCAACCACGCAACCAACAGCCACTTGTTTCCAGCTTTGTCCCCACTGTTGTGACAGGCTCCAAGCACGCAGCAGCGAAGAAGTCAAATGAGATTCCTACCTTCAGGGTGCTTGCTTACATCCGGTGTAGCAGCGTCAGGGGATGGGAGGCAGACAGTTGGTAACTTGCAGAGAAAACAAGAGAGAAAAACGCCAACAAAGTAAAAAATGAATTAAGCAAGGGAAAAAGAGTTACCTGGACATTAAGAGAACTGAGCTCAAGTCCAAGTTCTTCTTATTAACTGTGTGAACCTGGGCAAGTCACTTTGATTGTATGAGCCTCGATATCTTCATTTGCAAAATGGGACCACTGTTTGTAGCGTGCTGTGAGAACGTAGCAACACGACGAACTAGGGAAGTCTGGCAGGGTGATGTGCCAGCAGGGGGATCTTAACTGACACCCTGGCCTGTTTGGAGCAGAGGCCCCTTCCTCTTTTGCTCCCAGCCACCTTCTCCCTCTCAGATTCCTCCAGCCACTGAGCTAACTTTGCCAGCCTACCAACCACCTGGGTCTCAGTTTCTCTGGACAGGACTTGTCACACACCAGATCCTCCTTGAAGGCATCCCACGGGGTCTACCTTCCTGCCTGCAAATTGGGGGTGATGGTAATAACACCTGCTGTGTCAGTTCTGTGGGGGGACTACATGAGATCCTGCATGACAGTGCCCGGCTCCTGAGAAGGATTCAACACACCTCAGTGACTGCCATTGACCACTGAGGAGTTCATGCAAAAGTTCTGGCCTAGAAACCCAAATTCTCAGCCCAGCTAACTTGCTGTGTGACCTTAGCGAGACCACTCCCTTCTCTGGCCTCAGTTTCTTTCTTTCTTCTTTCTTTTTTTAAAGATTTTATTTATTTATTTGACAGAGAGTGAGAGAGGGAACACAAGCAGGGGGAGTGGGAGAGGGAGAAGCAGGCTTCCCGCCGAGCACAGAGCCCGATGTGGGGCTCCATCCCAGGACCCTGGGATCATGACCTGAGCCGAAAGCTGATGCTTAACAACTGAGCCACCCAGGCACCCCTCTGGCCTCAGTTTCTGTTTTTAACATGTGACAAGCATCATTATCACCTCTGGCACCGCCACTGTCATGCCGACTGCCCAGAAACGCCAACTACGCGGCAAGTCAAGTTGTAGATCAGCTCACATAAGCTGCCTGGTGAGGCAGAAAGAATTGCCCCCATTTCACAGATGAGGAAACTGAGGTTTGGGGAGGGAAAACGCCTTACCCAAGGACACAAGGTGATGAAATGCTGGAGCTAGGCTGAGAGGAGGCAGTTCTTCCCTGAGCGGGGGATTGTGCAGTGAGTAGGGGCCTCTTGGGACCCCAGACCCTGCTCTTAAACCCAAGGGCTTTGTCTGGTTGGGAAAGGACTGGAATGGCCGACAGGGAGAAGAGGGGCTTATCTTCACGGCCGTGTCCAGATCCTGCCACTCAGCCCTCTGGGCAGCCGGCGTGTTGATGATCCTGCCTGAGCCGTAGGAAATGACAGTCTTTATGACAGTACAGTGTCTATTAGAAATGAAAGGGCTGAAATGATACCCATTAGCCAACCCACCCGGCCCTGGAGGAGTGTCTGGGCATGGTGGACATGGCAGGGCTTTCCTGTTCACCTACCAGTGTCCCCTTTGCAGAGAGTGCGGGGCTGGAACCCCCGCGCCCTCCCCATTGGCTATGTGGCCTTGGGACTGCCTCCCCCCAGCCAGGAGCTTTGGGTCCTCTCACCAGCCCGTCCCTGCAGGGCCAAGGTTACCGAAGAGGAGCTCCTCAGCAAAGGGATGTGCTGGCCCTGGGAAAATGCCTTCTCGCCTATGGGTTGGGCAGACCTGGATTCATTTCCATTCTTTCCCTGACCGTGTGACCTCGGGCAAGTTGCTTCACCTCTCTCAGACTCGGTTTCCTCATGTATGGAACAGGGACACCAAGACCCTCCCCACGAGGTCACCGTGAGGACTTCGAGAACACAGGGAGAGAGCGCCCACACGGGGCTTCCACCTGCACAACTCAGGACGGGGCTTGCTGGCAGCCCCCGGCCAGCCGAGGGCCCCTTCTCCTAGGAGCCCTCAAATCTCAGAGTTAGGAGGGTCTCCCCGGACGCCCAGCTTCCCTGCTGTTCTTCAAGAGACCAAGGTGTTCCCACCGCCAGCCTTCCTGTCTCCCGGTCCCTATGTGTGGAATGTCCCCAGAGCATTGCTGGCCTGGCTCCTTCACAGCCCTCTCTGCCCAGTGGCCCCCAGACTGCACCCCACCCCTGTCACTTTGTACGCCTTTGCCTGCCTTCATAGGATGTATTGCCCTCCGAAATGGTGTGAGGTGTGTGTGCGCTTCGCCTGCTTGCACCCAGTCCCCGTCACCGCGATGCGGGCTCCCCTAGCCCCAGCGCCGCCAGAGCCCGGCCCACGTGCCCTGCAGCGTCTGGGATCGGGCAAGGGGACGAGCTCGTGGACGGATGCCCCAGCTCGACGCCACTCCGTTCACCGAGTCCCATGTGTGTGGCCGTCTTGGTCCTCTGGGGCGGTCCGAATCGAAGACATTTCCCGAGCGTGTGCTCTGCGCTGCCCTGTGCACAGACACGGCCCTCCCTCAGGAGCCCACCGTCCGCGGGGAAGAACCAGGCGTCTCAGGGTCAGGAGACGTGCTCCCTGGAGGGACACAGCCCGCCGGGGGACCCCTCGCCCTCCCCCTGCCCTCCAGTCTCCCCGTGGCGCCTCAGGCTGAGCCCAGAAGGACGCGGTCTGTGTGGTCAGCCTCCCCAGGACACGGAGCAGGGTGGAAAAGACAGACAGCGGATCTTGACGGGCGCAGGGGGACCAGCACAGAAATAAACAGTGTTTTCCTCTTGAAGACTTTTGGGAACAAGACAGGGTTTAAACTGCTGACTCAGCTTGGGTAAGTGAGAAAGGAGCCCAGAGGGATGACTTGTGCTGCCAGGAAGATGCGTCAGGCAGAGGAGAGGGAAAGGCATTCCAGGCACGGGGAACAGCATGTGCTAATGCAAAGAGATGCAGAAGAGTATGTCACGATAAGGATGGGAAGAGGGCTGGGAGGTGTGTTGGGGTGAAGCTGGGAAGCAGGACGGGAAGTTACTAACTAGGGCACCTGGATGGCACCAGCAGCTTCTCTCAGAACAACAGTGGAAGCAGCCCTCTGTGTCCTTGGCTTCAGAATGAAGACACCTGCCAGGATCCAACACCTGGCTCCGGCTTTGCCACTAGCTTTCTCTAACCAAGTCTCAGTTTTCTCATCTGTCAACTGGGACAACAGCTGGAACATTTGCTGAAATGTACTCTCTGGCAGGCATTGTTCAAAAAGGGTTTTGTATTTCTGTTCACATTTAATTCTCTAAGCAGTAACGATTATCATTCCCTCTAAGACACAGTCGAGGTGGGATTCAAACCCAGGCAACAGATCTGGCTGCAGAGCCCAGACCTTATAGTGGAGCAGATGAGGGGAGTCCATAGAAACAGGTCACAACTGTCACTCACGTTTGTAGCTGTAACAAGAGACGTGTTAGACAATAATACTGAGCACTTCGTTATTCTCAGAATCTAAGCATTTTCCATAAGTTAGTTGAATCAGTCCTTGTAACATTCCTGGGAGGGGGGTACTGTTATGAGTCCCATTTCACAGATGAGGAAACTGAGGCAC